TTTTGAAAGTCCAATTTGGGCCAAATTGAGGATCAAAAACCCACTTTAAATCTCAAAAATCTGGGTTTGCGATCTGCTTCTCCATACATTTCCCCATGGCATACCTGTTCTTGTACAAGTAAAACCTGGCTGAATTTCTATTTCCCTGTTCTCGGACTTTTCTGGCCTCATACATGGAAAGGAGTAATTGCACGGGTCACACAATGCAGCGGGTCACACAATGCAGGATGTACTGTTGTTTTCACGATATCCACAACTATGTGTGGGGACACCAAAAACTTAGGGTGCCAGTTTCCAATGAATGGACTTTGTAGAGTTGAGGTGTTTCTCAAAGCTTCACCGTCTATGTGTGCATTTTCCGATATGGTTCTGTGTGCGCGTGTGTGCTCTCTCCGTCCTTCGACCAGGCACGGAGCGTTCACCTTTGGCTCATCGAACAAGAAGGAGATTGATTCCAACTGCATGCTCAAGGTGTGTTGTCTATCCTACGGTGAACTCTGTGTGTGTGTGTGTGTGTGTGTGTGTGTGTGTCTCTCTCTCTCTCTCTCTCTCTCTTTCTCACGAACATGCACACGCGCGCGCACACACACACACACACACACACACACACACACACACACACACACACACACACACACACACACACACACATTTGCTTTCGTTTATTTTTTTATTTTTTTAATCTAGTCTGAGAGTATGATATGCAACAGTGAACAATATTACCTGACAGAGTTGCGGCTAAATTTACTCTCTGGCTTTTGTCTGGACAAATAGAATATGTGTTGCCGTACATGAGGGTTCCGGGGTTCCGCCGGACACCCTAAATTTTCGCAAATGTTCTAAATGTTCTACTGGAAACAACAAGCATGTTTATATACAGGTATCAGCTATTCAGTGTTGGCTAAACTGGACCTCTCTCTGTATCCGCCCATACCGTAATTACACCTACCGGTATGAGTGCAGTAATGTGTCATTTTGCTGTGCCACCCCGTGTGTATCCAGGATCCGTATCTTCCACCGGACGCGACCCCCGAATACCGTGACTTCTTGCTCGGCCTGCTGAAGAAAGACCCGGCTGAGCGACTGGCCTGTAAAGGCGCAGGGTAAGCTACAAGAGAGGTTACGGAGTACGATTTTTCGTGCCAAAATCCGAAGAGGCGCTACGGATTTTTATACGTCGTTTTCGAGCAGTGAAATGTTCCAGAGTACGGAACTTATGTGTTTGCCGTCATTGCCTAGGTTACGATCGCAGACACGTCACATTCCCGCGTTACGCCTTTTTGTTTTGAAAAATTGTACCGAAATCAAATCTTACCGCGGAAATTCGATGTTTCCCGTACCAAATTTGTACGCAAAAAATCTTTCTGCACCTGATGACGCAAAATCTCCATACGAAACATGGTTCGTATAAAGCCGAAAAATCGTATGGAGCACGCCTGGATAGAATCCGTAGCGCCCATATGGATTTTGGCACGGAAAATCGTAACCCGGAACCTCTCTACTGACTACTGTGTCTGTGATGGGTGGGGTACAAGTTCAGGATCTAGGTCATTGGAGGGTATTACAACAGTCCACCTTGCGAATACTCAATAGCGACCCTCGATCGTACATGAGAAAAGCGGCGTTGTTCGTGAGTTGCCATTATTCGTGAGGTTGATAGTATGCCGTCAATTGGTCACTAGGTCCGAAGACTTTGTTGTTGTTTTTTGCTAGTTCTTGCTACTTGCTAGACCGTAATTCACCAGTTGTTATACTCGAGGTCATTATTCAAGAGGCTGACTATATTCCACCCAACGGATATGTTAGTGATGTTAGGGGCCTCCGGCATTATCGATAACTTTCACGAAACGAAAAAAGTTTAGTTAAGACCCTCCCCCACCCACCCACCCCCTCCCCTGAACAAATATATTGACTTGACAGCTAGAATGGATTGATGTTTCGGCTATCAATATTTTTCATAACGAAACTCTCCTCGACCCACCCACCCATAAACACGAAACTTTTTCGTTTTGTGTGAAAGATTATGAACGGCCCCTTTAATAGCATGTAATTACTGTGTTTGTTATGTTTGTTGTGTGCTTGCATGGTGCAGGCTTGATGAGCTGCGGCGGCATGCGTTCATGACCACTCTCAACTGGGGTCAAGCCATGTCGGTGCAGGTGAGTCACTACCCGTGTTGTGTGCCTGTCCGTCTACGAGTATCTGCGTGTTTGCCTGGCTGTCCGTCTTTCTGTCTGTCTTGCCTTACTCAGGCGCCTCGTACTGTGGTAGTAGAATTTATTATTTTTACTTGGGTGTACCCAGCAGGCAAGCAATGTGAACTTTTGTGCATGTGAGTTTACCGGTTTTGTGTGTGTGTGTGTGTGCGTGCGTGTGTGTGTGTGTTTGTGTGTGTGCATGCGTGTGTTTGAAACTCCTTCAGTTGGTCCCACCCATTATTCCGCCGAGTGATGAAGTCAACGCCGCAGAAGCGACATCCATTGGGCAATTCAGTGAGGAC